TGGGGGGGGCGTGCCCGCCGGGACGGGCCTGGGGACCCCACCACTTCACCGGAGGGGTGGGGCCTCCAGACCGCGTCCAGCCCGGCCGGCCATTTTAAAAAGGCCCGCTGGCAGAGAGGAGGGGGGCAGCCTCCTCCCAGGGAGGTAGAGACACACTGGGGCTCAGGACGGACCCGGTGCGTGCCCAAGACCAGCAGGCAGCCCATCCCCATCCCAGGGACTCCTGGGACAGCCCCCATGGCCGGAGGTCGGTCAGTCAGTCCCAGATCGGAGGATGACCAGGACAAACCTCGCGGCCCGCAGAGAGAGCGACCCTGCCGGGACAAGATCCACAGGAACAGAAGGACCGACAGGACCCCTGCGGAACAACGCCGGACCCGGACCCCAGAATCCCGGTAGGCGTTGGGGAATGGCAGGGGTGCTCCGGGGGCCGGGAGGAAGCAACCCGGGGCGGGGGCCTTCTGGCAACCGTGCGCAGACGTGTTACGAGAGGAAATACTCCCCATCTGCCGTGCAGGGGCGACAGCGAGCTCCTGCACTTAGGGCCCCAGGCTGGGACCCAGAGAGAGGGTGGTCCTGGGTTCCCCTCCCAACCCCCCTTGAGCACCCGACCTCTTTCAGAACCAGAACGCACACTGACGTGCGAACTGCGGCGGCCAGATGGCAGGGCCGGCCAGGGTATCGCCCCTCTGAGGGGCAAGACTTGGGGTGCGAGCCCCCTCCTTTTCCGCTAAGGCGGGATATCGGCACCGGGTTTGCTGAGCCCCCCCTCTCTGGCTCTGGATCACACCCATCTTACAGGACACACGACAAGGATCCCGGCTGGGTTAGAGGACGAGGGGGTTCGCTGAGCCCCCTTGCCCACTCGGTAGGGGGTGATCGCACCCCACGACTAGTCCACACGAGTTTACAAAGGGAGATATACATCAGTTCTTCCAAATCTAAATGTTCTGCACCTCTACACTGCCAAGCACTGACATGAATATAAAGCACATAATATTTAACACAAATAATTATAATGTGTCGATTAAACTACTATTATTAAATACTTTAATGCTAGCAAAATAAAATGCTGTAACCTCAGTAATATCTTACCAATGAGTATCTGATAAAGCTGTTTTGGTGTCAAAGTTATACTACAATCTTCCTTCTCTTGTGGATAAGATGGCACAGCATTAAGCCCATCACAAACCTATGGAAAGCCAGAGAAAATGCTCTCTCAGTTACTCTCAATGTTATATTATTCTTTTATTTAAAATGTATATTTCATAATATGTAAAAATACCCAACTTACCTCATTGTTTAAGGATTTAGATTCAAGTGCTGCTAGCTTTCGACTACTTAGCAGACAGTCCGCCTTTAAAGGAGTTATTTCTAGTTTCTGTTTCTCCTTGTATAAATCTGAGATTGTGATCTTTGGTGACCTGAGCCCTGAAGCTGGTTTTAGGCCTATGTTCACAGGATTGTTAAGACTGTTATATTGCCTTTAGAAAAATCAAAAGGTTAAAGTCCAAATTTCCGAAAACTTAACAAATGTCCCATGTTATGCATATGAAAAATTAATTAAGATTTTAAAATATTTCAAGTAGTTCTTAGGAATAGCATATTTCTTTACAGAAAAATTCTTCAATTGTATCAAAAGCTTTGAGCAATTCTACTGTAGTGTCTTTGAGGCACAGCCGATCATTTACTATTGGATTGTACAGTACAGTACCTAGAACAATGGAGCCTAACCTGGATTGTGAGGTTTTTGATACTATTGCAAAATTTAAGTTAAATTGCATTCAAACTCCAAGAATGTTAAGGGTGCAAAGTTAGAAACTTAGAAAATGTCCAACTTATGTAGTGTCTGTTAATTCGGCCCCCTAGGGCCTAATTTTTCCAGTACTTAGCATTTACACTGCACTTCATATGTTCAAAGTATAGCTGTAATCAACTTCACTTGCAGTCACAAGAACTCAGAATTCCTTCAAATCTGGCCACAGGTGTCTTACAGTGAATATCCAGAAAACATGACTATAACTGATGACCAACTGTGAATATTTTGGCTTAAGTGACTTTCCCAGCATCACATAGAAACTCTAGATAGAATCCAGTTCTCCAGATAGCATTCAGCTTTAACCAAGAGACCATCCTTTCTCTTCCTGCAATTCCCCACCCATTCAATAGACACTAACTTCTACAGCAAATGAGATGAGGTCTTACAGGCAAGAGCTGATCCATTACACAACACTAATTTTCAGAGCACCATCGATCATATGCACTGACTTAGCCTTGTGCTAAAAACTGTAGGTGATTCTATAAATAAATACTGTATTACACCATATACACATAGAGGGACTGAAATAAGATTGCAGAAGCAAACTTCTGCATTTTCTAACTTTTTACTGATTGCCTTTGAAACATTAATGAGATTAATTTAGTGAAATGGATGTGTCCCATAGATAGCTTTTGATGTTGAAATCCTGCCTTTAACATCTGCATTTCCACATCAAAAGCTATGTATGGGGCACATCCAGTCCACTTAATTAGCCTCATTAACAGGAGTGCTACAGTTGTCAGCTATACACACATTATATTATATATATAAAATAATATTAAATTATATATATATTGTATGGGCGGTGCTTGAACCCTTGACCTCTGGTGGTGGGTACCTCATCCACTGTGCCACTGGAGGAACCCCCCAACCTCCCTACATTCTGGGCCTCCCTTATCCGTCCTATGTCCCAAAGGTGTCAGATCCTTCCCTTGGGAATAACAAAAAGACAGATAGACAGATAGATAGATCTTGATTTCTGTTATTTCCACTCCAATCCATCTGGTGAAGTGGGTTTTGACCACAAAATCTCAAGATTCTATATATTGTGGTTAATCACTGAAGTGCCATAGGACTTACTCGTCTCTATTTTTTAAGTTAACAAAGTATCTGGCACCAGTAGTAACCAGTTATCCTCTATGGAGCTGAGCCATCATAGGGGATGAGAGACACACTTTGCCAGAGGGTTTCACGGTTAGTTGCCAACAGATGAAGAATGTAGAAATTCATGTATTCATTTCCAGGTACTGTAGGGGAGTATGTACTACAAGTTATAGACCCTTCCATACCATCCCCCATAAGCCTTTATCCCCCTCTGCTCCTTTATGCTCACCCCTCAGTTCTAAACACATTTCCCATTCTGTTCTTATTCACCTATGACTCCTAACCCACACTCTCTCTTTTTCTTTGCACCTACACCAACCCTAGCTTCTGCCCCCCTCTTCTTCTATATATTCCCCATATTCCCCACCATCCCAGTACTTGCCCCCTGCTCCTATCCAACATCTCTCGCTGGTTCCTATCTCCTTCTTCCTCTGTTCTTATGCAAGCTGCCCACATACTCGACAATCCTTCTTCACTACCCCCACTTGCCTTTGTTCAATCCCACCTGCTCCCTGCCTCTTCCTCCATCCAACCTTCCCTATCTTAAACCAGTCCCACTCTCTGCCTATTCTCCCCACACCTTCTTCTACCACATCCTGACCTCTGTTGCTGATCCATTTGTTCCCCACCACCTCCTGTCCCCTCTCATCACTTCCTGTCTTCCGTTTTGCAACTTGCCCCCGTGGATTCTCACCATCGTTGGATTACTACAACCTCTCCTGCTGTTCTGTCCCCCAACTCCTCACTGCTCTTCAGACAGTTCAGGTCCTAGATCACAGCAGTGGGAGCTTTAAGAGCAAAGGGGAAACAGTCTCCCTGCTCTCAAGCTTCAGAGGGGTAGCCAAGTTAGTCTTGTAACAGGAAAATCTTAAAAAACAACAAATAGTCTAGTAGCATCTTAAAGCCTAACAAAACATGTAGATGGTATCATGAGCTTTTGTGGGCACAACTCACTTCTTCAGATGACAGGACAGATGACAGAAGTGGGTTGTGCCCATGAAAGCTCATGATACCATCTACATGTTTTGTTAGTGTTTAAAGTGCTACCAGACTATTTGTTGTTTTCCCTGCTCTCTGTTCAGGTGACTGATGCCGCAGCAGCCCCTGGCTGCTAGCATGAGCAACTACAGTCGCAATTGCACAGAAACACTTGTTCAGCTTATGGCACCCAGAACTGGAGCACAATCAGTCCAAATGGAATATTCAGAGAATTTAATTGCAAGTCTCAGCTAAACATGTGTGCACTGAGATTTTTTTCAGAGGCTTAAACCCTGGTCAATTTTGAAACAATTTTTATAGGGGAAGCAAAAGGATGACATGGTATAATAGCCGTCAAACATCAAGCTCTTTCTCCAAAACAGAGGCTGAGTCTAGACTGCAGGAATTTGTTGGCAGAGACAATGCAAATAAAGTGCTCAGTAGCATTTCTCATGCTGTCATTTACATAGTTTCTTCCAATCCTTTTTGAGGAAGAGGTTTTTGCACACAAAAAAGCAGTGTAAATGGGGTCATCAAAAAAAAAAACCCTTTTGCACAAGATCCTGTATACCTCCTTTTTTGAGGCATAAGGGATTTTGCACAGAATGGCCCCGTCTACACTGCTTTTTTGTGTGCAAAAACCTCTTCCTCAAAAAGGATTGGAAGAAACTATGTAAATGACAGCATGAGAAATGCTACTGAGCACTTTATTTGCATTGTCTCTGCCAACAAATTCCTGCAATCTAGACATAGCCACAGAGGCAGTAGTGTCTTAGAGAAACAGTTAAAAGATTTTTTTAACTAGGGTGGAACTTATTTTTCCCTAGCCTTATTCATCGAAGCAAGTGAACCATTTTAGCTGAAAACTTTCAATAAAATAAAATAGCCTGAAGCAGATCTCTCATACAAATTTTCAACCCAGATGGTTAAAATTTGGCAAAGTTGTAAGTGGAAAGGGGCTTTCTACTGTAATAGGAATGTCAGGAAACCTTAATTATAGGCATCATTTGCTGCCTATAATAACTACAGTATTTGTTATAGAAAATAATCACTAGTACTTGGACTTTTCACATTGTAAACCTTATTTTCAATTTTTTTTAAAAACTGTGGTAAAGATTTAACTAGAAGTTAAATCTGAGATTTTTGTATGTCTGATCAGATTACTCTACAAAGATAGATAAAACTTTCCCAATGCTATTATAACACATTTGCAATATTTAGATACAGATTAATAAACCCACACTTGCAATTGTGTCCACATGCATTTTTGTGATTTTTTAAAGCAATCGGAAAGGGAAAAGAGAACTTTAAAGAGCTAAATAAAAAAACGTCCCTGACTTTTCCTTTTTGTGGGTATGTAGAAGAGGAGTAAAGAGTAAATTTTAAAAAAGAATCAGGAATGTCCACTCTGGTTTTCCCTCATTTCCCTGCAGAAAACTATAATTTAAAATATAGATAATTCTAGTGAGGTAATTTTACAGATTTTAATGCCGGAAGGAACCATTGTGTTCATCTAATCTAGAGGTGGGCTGGATCCCACCCACCCAGCATTTCTATCTGGCCCGCTCAGCTGATTAACAGAGCGTATCAGCAGCGTGTGTTCATTTGTCCCTTCCCCCTTTCCACCTTGCTCTATCCTGCAGCCCAACTTCTCCTAGGACCTACCTATTAGATGCATAGGAGGGAGTGCTGAAGTTAAGGGTATCCTCCTACATCTGTACGCCATCTCTGTAGAATAGCATTTGGGGAGAGGGACACACACAACGGAGCTACTCTAGTCTGAAGTATGGTGAGTGACCAAGATGACTGCCTTTCTTAAGGGGCAGTGCACTGTTTCTAAGATTTCTCCAGCAGCCAGCTATCTCTCTCTCTGAGCCCAGAGCTGGCCCCTGCCAACTTACAAAATTCATGGAGTGGATTCCCTGCAAAAATTACTGCGCACCCAGATCTATTCTGACCACTTGCATAACACAGTGAATAGAATTTTACCATGTGATTCCTGCATCAAGCCCAGATCTTTTAAATTTCAAGGTAAAAAAGAAGCCTTTATTCCAATAGATGATTACCCTCTCTGTTAAAAGAACGCACATTAATTCTACTCTGTATTTGTTTAGCTTTGGCTTTCAACCACTTGTTCTCGTTATGCCTCTGCCCACAAGCTTTGACCAGTAAAGCAACCCTAAGTATATAAAACACCACCACCACAGTAAAATTTTTGGAATGCATTAAAAACTAAAGCCCCAACATTGCAAACACTTATGCAAGTGCTTAAATTTAAGTTCATGAGTACTCCCACTGAAGTTAAGAATCTGTATTTGCTGCTTCAAGGCCTTAGGTATTTTTCATTTGTTAAATAAAATTTTACCTAGTAGCTTCTTTTTGTAAGCGACGCTGTCTTAAATTTCTAATAAAATCTATATAGTATTGCTTATTTGCTTGCTTTTCCAGTTCTTCATAGTCAGCATAGGCAAAATCTGGATCCACATAATTATATCGGTCAGCTTTCGTAAAAATAGTCCTACATATTTAGAGAGAAATAAAACTTCATTATGTACATTCATTATTTAGGGTTTTTGAAAATATTACTGATTTTGTCACAAAAATATTTTATTGCAAATCCCCATTATGTTACTGGTAATTATCAGTATTTGACTTTATAAAGACAACAACAAAATGCAAGACTTCATAGTTGCACCTGCAGTTTCCAATAAGAAGCAACTCAGAAGAAAGCTATAAGTAAAAACAATCTTCTGTCTAAACTCTGAAAATATACTAAAATATTATAAGTTACTGATCTTGATCTACTTTTGAAACAAGTAATAGAATTGTTAATACTGTTTTTTATTTAAACATTACCTATATTTTTTATGTCGTTCACCAGGCCTAATGCTGGCTGAGCGATCATTAGGAAAGGCTATAAGTGCATCACTCATGCAGTCCCTATTTTTCTGGTGAGTATGCATCTGTGTTTGAGCTGATCGAAGCATTGCTACTGGTGCAAAATCAGTAAATCGTCCAATCTCATCAGCTACCAGCTGTCCAGTTGCATTGGTAATCATTGGTGTTATGCCTTAGGATTTAAATAAAATATGTTATATGCAATTAAGCTATCATTTTCCAATGAGAAGTACAAAGTAATATTTTAATTCAGAAAAATATATATATTTCATATGTTATTACAATAAAAATCACATCTAAAAATAAGAGTTCTGACTTTTCACACCTGTTTTACAAAAGTACATTATCCTCATTCAAGAGAAGAAATGATGGTATTGTGGTAAAGGGATTAAAACTCATCAGACTTGAATTCAGTTCCTGCTCCTGGTATAAACTTCCCTGTGTAGCATGAACAAGTCATTTGATTCAGTAAACCACTTAAACTTAAGCACTTGAATAGACTCATTAAAGTCCGTGAAACTACACATGTGCTTAAAATGTTTTGCTGAATTGTGGCCTGAATCACTCTTTACAACAGTTCCTCATAGTACTTAATTCCTAATACTTTCTCTCTCTCTCTCTCTCTCATGTTTCATCACTCTTCTATATTTAGGTTGCATATATTTTGGGCTAATGATTTCCTTCTGTAGTATCTGATTAACAAAAACCAAAATGCAGCACTGATGTCAGATGGACCTCGATATATATGTTTCCACACATAACAACAAGGCTACGTCTAGACTGGCATGATTTTCCGGAAATGCTTTTAATGGAAAAGCTTTCCGTTAAAAGCATTTGCGGAAAAGAGCGTCTAGATTGGCACGGACGCTTTTCCGCAAAAGCACTTTTTGCAGAAAAGCGTCCGTGGCCAATCTAGACGCACTTTTGTGCAAAAAAAGCCCCGATCACCATTTTCCCGATCGGGGCTCTTTTGCGCAAAACAAATCTCAGCTGTCTACACTGGCCCTTTTGCGCAAAAGGGACTTTTGCCCAAACAGGAGCAGCATAGTATTTCTGCAAAAAGCACTGATTTCTTACAGTAGGAAGTCAGTGCTACTATGCTATATGATTGTCCAGAAACCTGAGGGTTAGGGAAGGAAGGAAGAAAGAAACAGGAGCTGACATGAGCAGCAAAGCAAGTTCCCTGCACATGAAATAAATGAATGTGTTTACTCACATACACAAAGTACATTAGAACCATCAAACCACATCTAAAATAAATAACCATTTAAACAAACATCTATAGCCCACATCTTTTCTTTCATCACCTTTCACTTTTCAATTTACATAAATTTAAAACAATCAGTAAAGTGTATGGCTTTACAATAATTATTGAACTATCCCACAGAATAAAACAAATCCCACAAATCACAAGCACACTGGGTTTACCTATCTAACCATGAATCCACTCCTGCCTAAAATGCCTAGAAAAAATTACTCTGGCCAACTAACAGACCCTTTTAAATCATCAGCCTTTCCATCTACCTAACTTCAGCTTCATACTCCCACTGTGGCCAGTGCTACATTTGGCCAGGTCTTCCTACTCTGACATTGTGGAACCACCAAGACATAGCCCATTACCAAACCATTTTGAACAGACTACAAAATCTCTTTAATAACTTATTATCATGCTTAGTTACTAATTTTGTATTTTCTATAGAATCTAGACCTTGATTATACCTTGACCAAGAAATCTGGACCTTGGCAAATTATAATTGATTACCCTGACCTGTGGCCTCTTCACATCCCCAGATTATCCTGCACTTTCTTGTGGGCTGAAAGGGAGGGCAGGTTACTCCCACTCTGATGTGTCCAGAAAGTACAGCATGCCTGAGGGCAGCACTTCATTTTATCCCAGGGATACAACTCTTAATTGTGTATCAATCTATTCTCTGTCTTCACCTCCCCTCCATGTCGGGGAGGTTTGGGGAGAAGGGAGGTTGCCTTTCTCTATTACATCAGTCAGCTATATCTTCAATTGGGCAGGAGGCAGCTACTGAGCGCTCAGTCCCCTTCCTCTCCTTACCCATTTATACAGAGAGTCAAGCAGCAACACTAATAAGGCTATGTCTAGACTATGCTGAAGTTTCGAAAGAGGATATGCAAATTCTGCAGGAATTTGCATATCTTCTTCCAATCTCACTTTCAAAAGCGGAGTTTTTGAAAGTGAAAGTAGTTGGGACATGTTTTTTTGGAAACCTCCCCCCCTTTTTCAAAAAGCCACTCTTCCTCAAAAAATGAGGTTTACGTGGCTTTTCAAAAGGGGGAGGGTTGCCAAAAAAAAACGTATGCAAACCTCTGCTTTCGAAAGTGAGATCAGACGATGATATGCAAATTCCGCAGGAATTTGCATATCCTATTTCAAAACTTCAGCGTAGTCTTGACGAGCCCTAGAAAAAGACGTGAAGTAGAGGAATACTTGGTAGACAAAACCCAAAACTTTGAACAGAAATTGGAGGTCAACCTTGTGGCCTTGCCTACACTAATTTCTAAATCAATCTGAGTTTCAATAATCCAAAGTTCAGTTCACCACAGATATGCATATTTTATACATAAACATAAAACTTTCAATCTAACGGTGCTCCTTTTAGTAAATAACCATCTCCATGTATTTATTCTGGTAAAATAAGTACTGTGGTGCAGATTCTCAAAGGTTTTTAAGGCACCTAATTCAGTGGGAGTTAGGCTCCTAAATGTTTTCTCAAGTCTTAGGTGGAGGGTATTAACAGGTACATTACAAATTATCAGACTTCTTCAAGATGATTAAATATAAAAGTACTGCAAAATAATTCTTAATGTAAAGCATAAGATTGCAAATCCTCAGGATCATATAAAGAACCACAACGTTAAATCCTGATTAGATAAATCATGTAAAAATTAGAAAAATACTACCACGGATATATTTTAACATTTTTAGCTTTCAAGAATTTTTTTTTAACAATGGCGAAAATATGAACTGACTTCATAACTAAGACTGTTAAGAAGTATATTTCTAAAAATGAAAATTCAGAATTTTTTGCTTAGTAACATACCAGGGTTGATTTTAAACATAATTTTCTTGGGTTTAGGTTTGCATACACCAGTAAAACTTAAATGTATTTGATGAAATGGTTTGATCTTCAAAGACTCTAAGTTATCTTCCTCTGGCACTGAACCAAAAATGTCTACAACTTGCTTCACTTTAAAGGTTCCTACTTGACGCGGAGCAAATGAAAACATCACATCCTGAAAAAAAATGAACATTTCTATGAAACATTTTTACTAGAAATAAAGCAACCAGAGAGATATAATAAAGTTTTTTTTTATTATAAATTAGTTACCTCATACAGATTCAAATGTATTGTAAAGGTACTACTTGCTCAAAATTGCTAAACATTACATGTAATATAAAAAATGCTAAAAATTACATGTAATTTAGCAAATTCAAAAATATAGAACTACTAGGCATATATTTAATAACCTTAAGTTTGTAGATCAGTGTTCCTCATAGTGGGCTGCAGCCCACTTTGGAAAGCTTCTAATGGGCCCATGCTGCTTTGTTTACCTGAAGAGTCCATAGCCATGGAGCCCCTCGGCTCCGATTAGCTCTGGTTCACCATTTCCAGCCAAGAGGAACCATAGGAAGCAGTGTGGCCCTGGCCTCCACTTCCCGCAGCTCTCCTTGGCTAGAAACGGCAAACTGGAGCTAATGGGAGCCACGAGTTTCCATGGCTATGGACCCTTCATGTGAGCAAAGCAACGTGAGCCTGCTTGTAGATTTCTTAATCTGGGTCTGCAGCCCACAATGAGAAATACTGCTCTAGACGAATATATTCTCCTAGGGGAATTCTGCACCAAAAACTAAAATGGTGCACATAATATTTTCAAATTCCGCATATTTTAGCTATCAAAATAACACAATATAATAACACAAGTTTCAATTATTTTTGATCATTTATTTGAAAATACCAGTCAGCAAATATGTCTAACAATACAAACAAACAAGATTTAGAAAATGTTTTTTGACAAATAGGTTCCTTAATACGCATATGAACACAGAACACTGAGTAATAATTCACTTAGACTACAGGTTCCACCTCCCAAATCCAGGACCCTCTATTACGGCAACATCCCTGGTCTAGCAAGACCAGGGATGTTGCCGAACCAAAAAGCCCCAGAGTAACGCAGAGGCTGAGGAGCCACCCCAGCTGGGCCAGGCAGCATCTGGGGAACTCCCAGCATCAACAGGGCCAGGGAGTGTCCAGGGAGCCCCAGCTCCAGCTGGAGAATGCCAAGCATCAGCAGCCCGGGAACTCCCGCCTGGCTGGGGAACCCCCAACATTAGAGGGTCCACGTGGCCAGGGAACCCCCAGCTGCAGCAGGACTGTCAATGGCCAGGATGCCCTGACCAGGAAACCTGGGAAACCTCTGGTGGCAGCAGGGCTGGGGTTATTGGGCAGCCTCTGCTGGGGAGCCCCCGGCTGAAAAGGGGCTGGTGAAGGCTAGAGGCTGGAATCCCCAGCAGCAGCGGGCCAGCCCTAGTAGTGGGGCAGGGAGGTCAGGAGGCCCCAGCTGGGGAACTCTTGCTGGCAGCAGGACCAGCAGCAGCTATGTGGCCCCATCTGGGAACCCCGGGATAGCGGGTGGGTAGCAGGATGGGGAGCCATGCCGGGCCAGCAGAAAGGCAGGGAACCCCAGGAGAGGAGCCAGGGAGTGGGGCAGCCAGCAGGGGAGCACGGATCTCCCCTGGTCCGACAAACTCCCTGGTCCAGGACAGCTCAGGTCCCAAGGGTGCCAGACCAGGGAGGTCCAACCTGCACAATGCAAAACCTTATTTCCCACACCCACCTAGAAACAGTGCAAACCTTGGTAGGAGTCAACGGTAACGGAGGTGCGGAGGGAAAGGGAAAAATTAGTGGAAAGGAGATTGGATGTGAACTTGGAAGGTTGTTGATATAAATGAAAAAGTATGGAAGAAGGTTTTTTTTGGCGGAGAGATTGTTAGCGGACTTCCCCCATGCAGACTCTGGCTGACCCCCTACTCTTTCCAGTTCAGTTAGGTACATGTGTCCCTCCACCCCCACTCAGAAACCCATTCTCCCCATGCCCATGTGGCCCTGAACCCCCAGGCCCATCTGCCTATGTCTTTCTCTGTGGCCCCACTCAACCACCTCCCATCCCTACATGGCACTGCATGCCTTCCCCCATCTCTCTTCATTCCCATTCAGCCCCTGCTGCAGTGTGTCTTCCTCC